TTTTTCTTTTGGTGGAATCCGGGATTGAACTCAGGCCCTTGTGCTTGCCAGAGAAGCGCATATTCCACTGAGCCATCTCCCCAGTCCCCAGAAAAAGAAAAGGAAAAACAGCACTTGCTCACTATATAGTCCAGGCAGGCCTTAAATTCATGGGGATCCTCCTGCCTCAGCCTTCTGAGTGCTTGGATCACAGGTGTGTGCCACCATGCCTGGTTCAGTACCACACTGCTGGGCTGAGAATGGGACGCTGGTTACAGCAGCTCAAAAGTTCTGTGAGCCACATAGGCACCAGGGCCAGCGGAGGGCACATGTGGTCGGGTCCGACTGTGCTGTGGCTGAGGTTTGCCACTTCATGGCAGAAGGAGCTGGAACTCCAAACCAACCAAGTCCCCTTCCTGGGCAGCCCTACACTTTTCCTCCAGTTGTAGAGTGCCTTTGTGTGTATTAGTTTTTTAAATTTTATTTTATTTTATTTTATTTTTTTGTATTTTAGTAAGGGTCTATAGGGTCCTACTATGTAGGTCAGACTCGTAATGATTCTCCTGTATTCAGCCTCCCAAAGAGCTGGGATTATAGGCGCACGCCACCACATCCATGGTGTGGTCTCTTGGCTCACATCATGGTCTCAGTGCACCTGGGGTGCGGGGCTGGCATGGCATGCTGGGGATCGAACCCTGGCCGCTGCGTCTGCCTAAGCAGGCACTTGAATCCTCTGAGCTATTTGGCCAGCCCTTTGTTTGTTTGTTTTTTAAATTTTAAGAAATTATTTATTTGGTACAGGGTCTTGCTACGCTTGGTCTCGTAGTGATCCTCCTGTCTCAGTCTTCCCAGCACTGGGATTACAGGCATGCGCCACCAGGTCCGGCTTTGGTGGCCGGTGTGGCATGACTGGGGTTCTGGGCCAGCAAGGCCTATGGCACTGAGGATTGAACCTGCACTTGCCAGGCAGGCACTTAGGCACTTAGATGGCTGAGCAGTCTCCCCAGCTTTATGTGTTAGTTTTCTGTGTTTGTTTTCTCTTAAAGCCCAGACTCCACAGTCTCACCTGACGTGCTGAGCCACCCCACCCCTTTCCTCTGCTCCCGCGTCCTGGCCCCTGGCCTTTTCTGCTGCTCATCACTGCTCTCTTGGGCATGTCCCCACGCCCCCAGTCTGCTGGAGCATGTGTTTGGCAGCTTCTGGAGAATTTCATGGGGAGGTCAGTCTTCTGCGCTTTGCCCTGTTGGCAGATGTCTCTACGTCGTATTGTGTTTGCCTGGGTCCAGAGTTCTCGGGGGGGCAGTATTTTCCTTCACAAGAGAAGGCTATTTTTCATTTTCTTTTTTTGGTTTCTGAGTTTTTTGAGACAGGATCTTACTGTATAGCCCGGCTGGGCTTGAACTCACGGTGATTGTCCTGCCTCAGGCTCCTGAGCAGCTGGGACTATGGGTGCACGTCCTGGCTGGCTCCTGGGTGGTCCCCCCTCCCCAGGGTCAGGTCGCCGCCTCAAGCAGCCCAGCCAGCTGCAGGCAGTCTGCACTGGGGAAGCCCTGCCTTGGTCCCCTTGGGCCAGTGCTGGAGCACATGACAAAATGAGGAATAAAGCGCCCGCAGGGTTCTGGGGGTGGCAGCCACTTCCTGATGCACAGCCTCTTGGTCTCTCTCTGATCTGAGGCCGGAACCTGAGACCTTCATATGGAGCTGCAGCCCCAGTCCTTTTGTATTTTGAGACAGGGTCTGGCAAAGCTAAGTTGCCCAGGCTGGGCTTGAAATTGCCACTGTCCTGCCTCAGCCTCCCTAGTACCTCAGATGACAGGTGCGTGCCATCACAGCTGACTCCCCTTTGTACTCTCACAGAGGCCAGCAGAATTTGGGCAATGTGGGGCAGCCCAGGGCCTGTCCTCCAAGCATCCACGTCCATCTCTTACTCTCATGAATGTCTTGAGGGCTGGGGAGATAGTTCAGTGGCATAAGCACCTGCTTGGCAAGTGCAAGATCCTGAGTTTGATCCCCACTACCAAACCAATCCAAAACCAGTCTTGATGACCCTGTTTAGGGGCATGGCCTCAACCAGGGATGCACACCTGGTGGTCTCAGGTGGCAGGCCTTTTTTAGCACAGCTAAGAGGCCCCAAGTCTGGTGTCTGCAGGCCTGCTCCGGCCCTGCTCACTCCTCCCACCTGCTGCCACCTCTCCCTCCTCCCCTTCCCCCCCGCCCCTGCTGTGCTCAGGCTGAGGCAGGGCAGTGCAGGACAACCTCCTGCCTGCCACTTGAGTAATTGGTGTCACATGCCTATCAGCTGCCAGGCCAGCCCTCTTTCCTTCTCTCTTCCCCTTTTTCCCTCCCTCCCTTGGCAGCCCTAGGGCTCAAACCCAGGGCCTCTGCACTGAACCATAGCCCAGCCTTTTGTTTTTTGAGACAGAGTCTTAGCCAGCCCCTAAGATACTCAGGCTGGGCTTGTACTTGTGATGTTCCTGCTGAGCCCCCAGTGCTGGGATTACAGGAGCACACCACTGTGCCAAACTTTTAAGAACATTTTAAAATTAAAAAAAAAAATATTATGGAGTCAGACACAGTGCCCTGTGCGTGGAATCTCGGCTACTGAGGTGGTGAGGCAGGCAGATGGGCAATTGATCAGTAATTTATTTTAAAATAAAATAAAGATAAAATGGGCTGGGGATGCAGCCTAGTGTGAAAGCCCTAGGTTCGACTGCTATTACTGGAAAAGAAAGTTTTATGGTGGGAACGTCTGCCCCTCAGAAGTGGTGTGGACGTTATCGTCACCCTGCCTGAGCCCTTGGCAGTGTGCTGACCAGGCCGGAGGCTGGGTACCTAACACAGAAAAGGGGGTGTGTCAGCATCTGCGGGCTGGGAAGGCTGGGCCAGGTGCCACATCCTCCGAGGTGCAGGGGGCAGCACAGGAGGGTCCCGGGCCAAGCCTGGGCTCAGGGATCTGCGTCACGCTGTCAGTATCGCCATCACCGTTGGAAGGACATTTGAGCCACAGCCCTCAGCCAGCCCTGCAGCAGCAGCTGAGTCACTGCTCTCCCTGTCCCCACTCAGCCCGGAGGACACAGGCTCTTGGATCACAGGCTGTATTGTGGCTGCTTATGTGCACACGTGCCCCTGTGTGTGCTTGCACTCTGGGGCTGAGCCTCAAGGGCCTCCGCCCCCTGGCCCCATCCAGTGGAGCCTGCCCTGCTGTCTCCACCACCCAGGGGCCCCTACTCAGGAGGCTGAGGCAGGAAGAGCACAGGTTTGCTCATCTCTCTCCCAGAGAACTGAACCCCTGAGGTGGGGTGGTGGCTCTGTCTTCAGACTTGGCTGTCACAGGGAATAAGAGGGTGGCACTCACAGAACAGACTTTTGTTCAGTACTGGAGAAGGAACTCTGGGCCTCTGGGCCGCTCCAGGGAGCCCTTTCAGCTTTCATTTTGAGGCAGGATCTTGCTAAGTTGCGCGGTGAACTTATTGTCCTCCTGCCTCAGCCAACCAGAGTGCTGGGATGACTGCCCCTCACCTGCTCGAGGGCTGGATTTCACATGATTTTGATACTGAAGGGGTGGTGGGTGGTAAGCATAGAAGGCTATGGGGCGGAGGCCAGAGGCCAGGAGGGCCGGGCTTGGTGCTGGTCTTGAGATGGGGCAGCCCAGCTTCTGGGACCGGAAGCAGTCCGGGGGGGTGTTTACCGCGAATACTCAGTCTTTCCCCTCCCCCGCTGGCTACCTTCATGACACTCGTCCCCCACGGTGATGTCCTCTGACCCCACCTGTGCGGGTACTGTCCAGCCTCCACCGCCCAGCCTGATAGTGCAGATTCGGCTCTGTGGCCACAGGAGAGACCTTTACCGGCGCCCCCAGACAGCCCTAAGCCAGCTGGGGCAGATGCAGTATCTGTAGTTCATCCCATGGTGGCGTAAGCTGGCCGCTGCTGTCCCCTGCCCTTGTTCCCAGGAGGTTGGCACCACAGGGTTCTGCGTAGGCCTCACTGCCCCCATGGGGTGTTGAGGCCTTGGGCTCCCGGTGACAGTGGCCCTGTCCCCTCCCCGCAGCGGCCTCTCAGTTCTGATCCGCGTGCGCCTGGAGCTGCGGCGGCACCGGCGCGCGGGCCACACCATCCCGTCCATCTTCCAGGAGGTGGCGCGGCAACACCCCGAGCGTCTGGCGCTGGTGGACGCAGGCAGCGGCGTGCGCTGGACCTTCGCGCAGCTGGATGCCTACTCCAACGCCGTGGCCCAGCTCTTCCAACATCTGGGCTTCGCGCCGGGTGATGTGGTAGCCGTCTTCCTGGAGGGCCGGCCCGAGTTCGTGGGGCTGTGGCTGGGCCTGGCCAAGGCGGGTGTGGTGGCCGCGCTGCTCAACGTGAACCTGCGGCGCGAGCCGCTCGCCTTCTGCCTGGGCACCTCAGGCGCCAAGGCGCTGGTCTACGGCGGGGAGATGGCAGCGGGTGAGCCGGGCGGCGGCGGGCGGGAGGCCCCAGGAGACGGTGGGCCCAGACCTCACAGGGGACCCCCAACGTGGGGCATCTGTCATCCCTGTTACTCAGGAGGCTGAGGCAGGAGAATCCCAAGTTCAAGCCCAGCCTGAGCAACGTAACAGATCTGTGTAGAAATAAAACGGGCTAAGGGTGCGGCTCTGCGAGGCCCAGGGTACAGCCCCCTACCCAAGGAGGGGTCCTTTGGGCACGACAAGGTGGGAGGCCGCGCGGGCAGGGCGTCTGCCCACGGTGACTCAGTTGGCGCCGGCGCAGCGGTGGCTGAGGTGAGCGCGCAGCTGGGGAGCAGCCTGCTGAAGCTGTGCACAGGCGCATTGGGGCCCGAGAGCCTGCTGCCCGACAGCCGCCTGCTGGAGGCGCTGCTGGAGGAGGCCCTGCCCGAGCTGCCTGCGCAGTCCCCGAGCTTGGGCATGGATGGTAAGTGGGGCCGTCTGCCTGCCTGCCCGCCACCTTGTGCCCCTCCACGCCCCTGCGTGCCAACGCGCCCTCTCCGCAGATTGCCTCTTCTACATCTACACGTCGGGGACCACGGGGCTGCCCAAGGCTGCCATCGTGGTGCACAGCAGGTGAGACTGGCCTGGGTCCCTTCTCACGCACCCCGAAACCGCCTCCTCCAGTGCAGCCCTAGGACCTTTGCACACACTGTGTGGGGAGTTACCTGTGGGGCAGGCACCCCGGGACCTGAGCACTGCCGCCTCGGCCCCCAGGTACTACCGCATCGCAGCCTTCGGCCACCACGCCTACCGCATGTGTGAGGCTGATGTGCTGTATGACTGCCTGCCCCTGTACCACTCGGCAGGTACGTGGGCGTGGGCGCCGCGGGGTGCGGGCGCCGCGGGGTGCGGGCGCCGCGGGGTGCGGGCGGGCTGCGTGGCTCACCCCTCCCCACTCCTGCAGGCAACATCATGGGCGTGGGGCAGTGCCTGATCTACGGGCTCACGGTGGTGCTGCGCAAGAAGTTCTCCGCCAGCCGCTTCTGGGATGACTGCATCAATTACAACTGCACGGTCAGCGGTCAGCGCGGTCCACAGAGGGCTCTGTGGTCAAGCCCCGCCCATAAGCCACCTTGCCTGGCCCCGCCCCTGCCGCAGGGCCTGGCCTTGTCTATCTCAGGAGTCTTGGGCAGGGCTGGCCCTGGGAGGAGAGGACAAACAGCCACTACGCCTGTCCTAGCCTTGGCTGAAAAGCTTTGCGTGTAAACACATCAAAATCTTCAAAGTAGCCCAAAGCATCATATCCATTTTGCAAATGGGGAAACTGAGGCTCATAGTGTAGCTGGGATTGGGCCCTGTGTGCCCTGTGCAGGCCATGCCCCCTGCAGACTTCTCTTTTGGACAGCTGGGGACTTCCAGAAGTGAGGCCAGGTGTAGCCAGCCCCCTGGGAGGGGCTTCCAGGTGGAGGCGGTGCTGTGCACTGTCTTAGTACTGTGGGGGAAACAGGACAGTCGAGGAGGCGCAGTGGGGCGCTCTGCATCCTGGAGGCCCTGGACTCCATCATGAGAGGAAGAGTGGAAGTGAGCAGTTCCTGCGTTCCCAAGGCTGTCAGCTCTGTGGTCCTAGGAAGTCCTGTCCCCTCATAGGACCCCTCTGCCAAGTGTCTCAGGAATGAACCATTCCCCCACTTCGGCAGCCCCGATCTGCTTTCTCCGATCTGCTTTCTGAGTCTGGGTCCTTCTGTCTGGTCTTTGCACCCGTGGGGCACGCGCATGTTGACCGGGGCTTTGCTCTTGGCGCTGTGCCTGAAACCCCAGCTTTCACCCCGGTGTAGGCAGTGGCAGGGGATCTGTCATTGCAGAGTGCAGGGTAGGCTGTGGCGCCATTCCGAAGTGTGTTCTCTTCCTTGTAATGTGACACTTGGGCAGAGGGGGCGCTAGTGATGTCCCTGTGAAGGACTTTTTGGTTGACTCAGCCTGCCTTATGGGCGGGTCTGGTAGGGCAGGTCGAGGTGGGGTTCAAACTGCAGTATCCTGCGCCTGACTGCATTTGCATGCGCAGGCGCTTAACTGAGTTAACTGGCAGGCCCCTGTCCCTGTGGTTTGAGGGGAAAACCTCTTACCTGGGGCTCCCAGCAGGCCAGGGCCAGCACCTGTGCCACCTCACCATGCAGGGAGAGCAGGGGTTCAGGGCAGGAAAGGGACCTTAGTGATCATGGCCACACTGGAAGCACAGATAGGAAGGCAGTCAAGCCTCCAGAGGCTGAGGCAGGAGGGTTGGCAAGTTTGATCCACCCTGAAGGTTTGCTTAGTGACTTTGTTAGACCCTGTCTCAAAATGAAAAAAAAAAAGCCAAATGTAGAATCCCCAGTGCCATAAAAGGCAAAAAAAAAGTCTTGAGGCAATGATGCAAGCTTTGCTTAGTATACAAAAGGGGGACAGGGAAGGAGTTGGGGTTCACATTTGGAGATTGTAGGGCTGGTTCTGAGCAGTGGAGCCCTGGCTGCACTGAAGTCACATGAGGTGACCTTTGAGCTCAGCTTTCCTTGAAACCCTAGGGGACTACAGGGTTGGGACATCAACTGCGGCATCAGTCACATTCCCACTGCAGAGACAAAATACCCGATACCCACAATGGGTGGAGATTCATGGGCTCACAGGATCCCAGGGCGCAGCCAGAGATGGTCAGGTAGGGTGGGGTGGAGGCAGGGCATCCAGGCCCACTGGGAAGATGGGTGGGGGCAGTGATTGGCCCTTCCAGTCTGGGCCCCTGCGAGTCCAGGAGACACCTCATTACCTCACCTCAGTGTCCCCAGCTTTGCAGAGGCCAAAGCCAGTGGTCTGTGGTGCTGTTGTTGGCACCTGGGGCCTCCCTGTGCATACAGCTGTGCTTACCTTTAAGCTAGGATGTGCCCATGGCACCCTCATGCCAGGTAGGAGTTGTAGATGTGCCTAGGCACTGCTAGTGTCCCTGTCAGGGAGTCACCTGGCTGAGAGCTGCAGCTCCAGGCTGTCCCCTCTCCTTCCCTCCCTCCCTCCCTCCTTCCCAGTACTAGGAGGGAACCTGGGCCCATGCAGGCCCGGGAAACACTCATCACTGAGCTGCAAGCCCAGACCTTTTTTATTTTTCAATTTTGAGAAGGGTCTCCCTCAAGGTACCCAGGCTGGCTTCACTCTCACCATCTTCCTGCCTCAGGCACCCAAGTAGCTGGGATTACTGTGTGCTCACAGAGCCTGGCTTGGTCTAGATATCTGATCAGCTTCAGGCTCATCTCCCTCAGTAAAGACCCCTGGTGGCTTAGCCCATGGTGCTGGAGGGCCCTGTCTGGAGCTTGACCTGGGTCTCCAGTCGAGTCCTGTCCGCCTGAGGGGCAGGATTCTCTGCACTGCCAGGTGCTCGTGGACACTGAGAGTGCCAGAGGGGCAGAGGCAGGAACTTTGAAATTCCTGTACTTGGCCCAGGGTGGGGCTGCTTTTTCTTTGCAGTGCAGGGACTAAACGCAGGGCCTTCACAAGGAGCTACATCCCCAGGCCTTTTTCATGTTTAGTTTGAGACAGGGTCACTTTCCTGGGCTGGGCTAGAACTTGCAGTCCTGCCTCAGCCTCCCACAGCGCCTGGCTTCACGTGCCCTGGTCTAAGGCAGTCTTGGTTGCTAGGGCAGGTGGCCAGGCTATGTCCTGAGTTCACTCCTGGAGTTGGCATGGGCGATGCTGACCTGGGCGGGTGGCTAGTGGCCATGGGCATTCCATTGTCTTTTTGTTTTCTTTTTGCTGGCTCAGCCTACCCTAAAGAGTGGGGCTGGGACATCCTATGGTGCTGGGGATTGGACTTTCCTAAGCAGGCACTTTAGATTGCTGTGCTATCTTGCTGGCCCCCTTCATTGTCTCTGAGGGTTCAAGTCTAGCCCTTCTGTAACCTCATGCAGGTACCCTGTGAGCTCAGTTTTTCTCTCTGTAAAGTGGGGAGCATGATTACCCACAACCCTGTGGCAAGATAAGCAGTGGGATCCCATGGCCCAGAATCCTGTGAAAACCCATGCGGGTGGGCGGTGGGTGGCAGGGCAGGAGGGCCCTCCTCAAATGCCATGCTGTGCCACAGGTGGTGCAGTACATCGGCGAGATTTGTCGCTACCTGCTGCGGCAGCCGGTGCGTGAGGCTGAGGTGCAGCACCAGGTGCGCCTGGCAGTAGGCAATGGCCTGCGCCCCGCCATCTGGGAGGAATTTGCACGGCGCTTCGGGGTGCGGCAGATCGGGGAGTTCTATGGTGCCACAGAGTGCAACTGCAGCATCGCTAACATGGATGGCAAGGTGCGGGCCAGGGACTGGGGATCCAGGGTGTGGAGTCAGGGCCACTGGCATCTCAGTAGGCAGGCCAGGGGCGCATGCCTGTGATCCCAGCGCCTTGGCAGGCGGAGGCAGGGGGATGGCCAAGTTCCAGCCCAGCCTGGTGACTCAGGGCCTTAGAGAGATCTAGTCTGAGAATAGATAAAAGGGGCTGGGGTGCAGCTCAGTGCAGTGGGACGTGAGACAGCCGCAGGGGTGTGGATTGTGGGAGGTGGCAGCTTGACCTCCTGGTCTGCAGGTCCTCCGGGTCCCAGAGCTTGGGACAGCTGCACACAGGAGTCCGGACCTGGCCACCTCCATCCTCATCACGCTGACCAACTCTGCCTTCCCTACAGGTCGGCTCCTGCGGCTTTAACAGCCGCATTCTGACGCGCGTGTACCCCATCCGGCTGGTCAAAGTCAACGAGGACACCATGGAGCTGCTGCGCGATGCGCAGGGCCTCTGCATCCCCTGCGAACCCGGTGAGCGGAGGCCCTGGCCCGGCCCCGGCGGCGCGCCCACACCCGCCACCCTCTCATCTAGCCTGGCCTCCTCCCCAGGGGAGCCTGGTCTCCTTGTGGGCCAGATCAACCAGCAGGACCCCCTGCGCCGCTTTGACGGCTATGTGAGTGAGAGCGCCACGAGCAAGAAGATAGCGCACAGCGTCTTCCGCAAGGGTGACAGCGCCTACCTCTCAGGTGCACGGCAGGGCGGGCGGTGGCTCCACAAGGACACACCTGCACCTCACCCCCCCCCCCCCCCCGCCCCCGGCCCCACTCCTGGCCGGCTGCGCACCCTGTCCCTCGCCTCAGTCTGCCCCCACCACCTTACCCGCTCCAACCGCCGCAGGTGACGTGCTGGTCATGGACGAGCTGGGCTACATGTACTTCCGCGACCGCAGCGGAGACACCTTCCGCTGGCGCGGGGAGAACGTGTCCACAACCGAGGTGGAAGGCGTGCTGAGCCGCCTGCTGGGCCAGACCGACGTGGCGGTGTACGGTGTGTCTGTGCCAGGCAAGCTTGGGTCACAGCGGATGACCTTGGGGGCGGTATTCCCAGGGGGCCCAGCAGAGGCTCAGGCACAAGGGTGCCCCTAGCAGTGCACACCCCGCACACCGTGCGTAGCAGACTGGGGGCGCAGCGTCTTTGTGGAGGGCAGAGCACGGAGTGCGCGGACTTTCAGCCGAGCCGTCTCCCTAGGAGTGGAGGGCCGGGCGGGCATGGCGGCCATCGCGGACCCCCGCGGCCAGCTGGAGCCCAACTCCATGTACCAGGAGCTGCAGAAAGTGCTGGCGCCCTATGCGCGGCCCATGTTCCTGCGCCTGCTGCCGCAGGTGGACACCACAGGTGCGGCCCTGCCCCAGCCACGCTGTTACTTTGTCACGCGGTTTCCTGCCTCGCCCCCTCCCGGCGCGTCTTGAGGGGGTCGCCGTCTTCATTTTCTGCCAGCTGCGGGTCCGGAGGTTCACCCTCACGTCCATGCCCCGCCCCGCAGGCTGCCTGCATCCACGCACTGGTGCATCCACGTTGCTTTTTCAGTTTTAGTTTTGCAGCACAGAGGACTGAACGCTGGGCCTTCATGCTGAGAGGCACCCTAAACCCTTTTGTCATTTTAAATTTTGAGACAGGGTCTCACTAAGTCACTAAATTGCCCAGTCTGAGCTGGAATTTGGGCTCCTCCTGCCTCAGTGACCTGAGTACTGGGATGGCAGGCATGTGACACCATGCCCACCTCCTTTTTGTTTTTGATTTGTGAGAGTTCTTGCTCATATTTAAGTGTTAATTCCTTACCACTTTCAGACAGCAAGTCTTTTCTGTGTTCTAGGGACAGAATCCAGGGCCTCCTGCATGCCAGACAAGCTGTCATGCCTGAGCCCTACACCCAAACTCTCTTATTCTTGAGTCTATCAACCTTGTCGAATAAGGCCAGGGAAGTGCTTATTCTACTGAGCCATCTCTCCAGCCCCACTTAAGTTTTGTTTTTAAAAATTACCTTCTCACAGCATGCTGGGAGGCTGAGGCAGGAGGACGAAAAGGTTGAGTCCTGCCTGGGCAACTTAGCAATTTAATAAGACCCTATCTCAAATTAAAAAAAAAAATAAAGGTGCAGGGATGTAGCTTAGTGCAAAGGTCCTGGATCCAATCCCCAGTACTTCGGGGTACGTGTGTGTGTGTTTAACCTTGCCTACTTTACAGCACAGGTGCCTACCCTCACTGTACCGCACAAGCCTATAGCCCTTAGTGTTATTTTCCCACAAAACCAGACTTGTAGATGCCCAGCTAGTCCCTTTTGCCTCAGCTTGTAAGTGCAGCCCAGGACAAGGTGCCAGGCGCAGGCGTGACCATGCGCCAATAAAACTTTATTGACAAGCACCTGCCGGGCCAGTGCGCTGACCTCTGATCCCTGGTCGGCCGGCCAGTGGGAAGCGGGAAGCTGCGGGGCGTGCTACTTTAGGTCCCCAAGTCCCCTTCGTTTTCTCCTCCCCTCCCCACAGGCACCTTCAAGATCCAGAAGACCCGGCTACAGCACGAGGGCTTCGACCCGCGCCAGACCTCGGACCGGCTCTTCTTCCTGGACCTGAAGCAGGGCCACTACCTGCCGCTGGACGAAGCTCTGCACGCGCAGATCTGCTCTGGCGCCTGCGCGCTCTGACTCGGGCGCCCTCGCCGCGTGCGCGTGCGCGTGCGCGGCGGACGGACTGGCAGCGCCTCCTTCCCGTCCTGGGCTCTGGGCTGCAGTCTCCCTGCCTGCTGGCGCTGTGCCTTAGGACCTGCTCGGGCCCCACCGCGGGCTGCGGACGGGGTGCGGCCGGCGTCCGCTCCTTACGGGGCGCCCGCTCCTTACGCTGCACACTTGGGCTCGGGCTCCTCCTCCTCCGGCCGGTGGGGGCGCCGCTGCGCCTCCAGCTCAGCTCCGGGGCCCTGGCTGGGGCGGCGGCCGCGGGCTTCTCGTGCACCGGCCGGCGTTTGACACGGGGATTTCTGTCCGCCTTAGTTCTAAGAAATAAACCCGCGAAGTCCGGCAGCTGCTGGGAGCGCAGAGTACTCGCGTCTGTCCCCGAGGGCGCGCACGGGCGACCCTTCCTCACCTCCCGGCCGGCCCAGTCCAGTCCTGGGACCTGGGGACACCAGACCCAGCAGCCTCACAGCCTGCGTCGGAGGAGGGCTGGTGCGGGCCTTCATCCCCGCAGGGCTGGACCGGGCTGGGCTCACTCGGGGCAGCACATTGCTGGCGCTAATGGACAAGATAAGCTTGTAAAGCTGGCTTAACACTGTGGTACCCGGGATAGAGCTGCGAGCCCGGACCTTTTTTTTTTTTTTTTTTTTGTATTTAGGACAGGGTCTACAGGGTCTCACTGCGTAGATGGGACTCGTAGTGATCCACCTGTTTACAGCCTCGCAAGTGCTGGGATTACAGGCGCGTGCCACCACGCCCAGGCTTCTCTCAGTGCAACCCAGGGATTGAACTCCTGGCCTCTGTGTCTGCCTAGGCAGGCTTTAATCCGCTGAGCTATTTTGCCGGCCTTTTTTATTTAGATAACAGTTTCACACTCATTAAATTTCTCATGCTGTGCTTTAACTTGCAATCCTCCTGTCCCAGCCTCCTGGGTACCTGGGATTGGAGTCCTGAGCTAGTGTGGATGTTTCCACATTCCTGATACCGTTACTGAACTGGGATTAATTTCCTGCCAACATTAAAACTACAACATGGGTCCCTGTCCTAGCCACCTGCAGGACCAAGGGACCACTGGGCTAGCATCACTCCCCCAGCAGCCCAGGGCCTTTGTGTTCTCATGGGTGGCAAATGGCCTGCGGACCCTGGAAGCTGCCCTAGGTGCAGGATTTGGGGAGCATGTTCTCTCTGCTTCAGATTTTGCTTTTTAAAAAAATTTTGGGGCCCATGAGATAGCAGACGAAGTGCCTGCTTAGGCAAGCACAGGAACTGGGGTTTGATCCCATGTACCATGTGCTGCACCAACCCTGCCCCCAGGGTGTGCTGAGGCTGGGACCAATTTGGGGTGTAATGACGCACGCCTGTAATCCCAGCACTGGGGAGGCTGAGCTGCATAGTGAGACCCTGTTAAAAAAAAAAAAAAGGAATACCTACACATATATATGATGTGACAAGATATTTCAGAGATAAGACCCATGTTTGAACAATAGTTGTTTACTCCGTATTTTTTTTTTTCCAGTACTGGGGATTGAACTCTGAACCTTGTGCTTACCAGGCAAGCCCTTATTCTACTGAGCTATCTCCCTGGGCATTGTTTACTCCATATTTGGAGACAGGGTCTTACTAATTTTGATAAATTGCTAGACTTGAATTTAAGATCCTCCTGCCTCAGCCTCCTAGAGTGCTGAGATTACAGGTCTGTACCGCCACACCCAGTTTAGATACAAGATTTGTTTGGCACCTCATACAGCCTGAAGATAAGTTATATGCTGTTTTTAATAGATGTGTCCATGAAACAAATATACAGGGCAGGGGATTTAGTTCGGTGGCACAGTGCCTGGCTATCGGTAGGTCCTGAGTTCCAAAAAAAGGGAAAAAAAAAAACCCAAAACAAATATTTAATTTTCCACTTGTGTGGCTTCACAGCAGTGCAGAAAATTTTGGATTTGGGAGGCTGAGGATTTCACTGGGACAGTGTTAGTTTAGATACATGGAGCCCTGGCTTTAAACCACACCCCCCAAAAAACAATCCTCAAGTATCAGATTTCAGAGTATTTAGGTTTCAAGTTTTGGATGAGGTGTGTTCAACATGTATCACAAAAAAATTAATTGCTCTAAAACTTCATTGGTAGGCGTGGTGTACACACCTGTAATTGCAGCACTCAGGAGGCTGAGGCAGGAGGATTGCTGCGAGCTCACATCCAGGCTGGAATACATAGCAAGACCCTGTTTCAAAAACAACAGAACAAAACCCTTATTGCTGGGGCTGGTGAGATGGCTCAGTGGTCTAAAGCACCTACTTAGAACAAGCTTAGCAAAGCACAGGTGACTGCGGTTCAATCCCCCAGCACCACATGCCAGCCAGCCCCCGCCCCCTGGTGGGCTGAGCTGAGCTGGCCACACACACACACACACACACACACACACACACACAAAATAAAAAAAAAATTAAAAAAAAACAAAAACAAAACCCTTATTGCTCACCGGTCCGTCCCTGTCCCCTTTGTCCCTTGTCAGCCACCGATCCCCACGGTGGGCCTGAAGTTTTGCTTTTCCACACCACACAAACACAGTGGCCCTTCCAGCCTGGCTTCTCTCTGTTTACCAGGCGGCGTGTCTGTCTCTGCTTGGGGCCACGCTGCTTCCGTGTCTATTTTCCTTTCCACAGTCCTGGGCTGGCGCTCATGGTGCAGCTGCACCCTGCCTGCACAGAAGCCTCCCTTTGTGATCTGCCTGAAGCGTCCTGATTCAGCCAGGAGGATGCTGGTGTGAGCCCCTTGGGAGCACCCAGGGCCAAATGGTGCTTAGTGGGGAGGTCCAGGATTCCACCCCAACTACAAAAAAGTAAAGAAAAAAAGCCCAAAGGCTGTGTGACAATTACTACTATTGAACTGCAGAAAACTTTCACCAACCCACACAAACCCCATCAAGCCCGGTGAGGTGGTGCTTGCCTGTCGTCCCAGAACTTAGGAGGCTGAGATAGGAGGACTGCAAGTTTGAGCCCAGCATGGGCTATGTAGTGAGTTCAAATCCAGCCTGAGCTACACAGTCTGTCTCAAGAAACAACAAAAAACACTACCACTAGTCTTTTCCCCAGCTCCTGCCAACAACCCATCAGCCTCCTGTCCCTGGGGGTTCCTTGGCTTTGAATGTTTCCTATTACGAGTCACACTCCATGCCCTGCAGCTTTTGTACATTATTCTGCTGTTCCACTTCATGTTATAGTGTGTTTTGTTCCTTTTGACAGCTCAGTAATATTCCACCAGCCACACTGTTTATCTAGCCATCTGCTGAAGCACAGCTGTTTCCACTTTTGGGTTACTTTAAGTAACTTCTAGGAACATCCTCTCAGGGACACCTCCAGGTGCTTGCGCTGGGCCATGTGCTCACATTACACTGGGGAGGAATCGCCATCTGGCTGCACCATTTTATCTGCCACTGGCAGCGTGCGTGTGTTCACACACAGCCAGCACTGTGTGTGGCGTGCAGCGGCTCCGTCTCCTCCCTCTGATGCTAGAAATGGAGGCCAGGGCCGCGTGTGCATTCTGCCAGAGCCACAGCCCCAGGCCTACAACTTTTTAGGTTTTGAGGATTTTTATTTTTTTGGGGGGTGGGGGGAGGCTGGCTCAGGCTGCCTTAAAGGTGGACCTGGTGCAGATGTGGAGCTGGGGATCGAACCGCGGTCCTCTGCGCCTGAATGAGTTTGCCCAAGCAGGCACTTTAAACAACTGAGCTAAGCTGCAAGCCCCTTAATTTGAGACAGGTTGTCAGCCCATCTAGGTTGGCTTCAGACTTGGGATCCTCTTGCCTCAGCTTTCAGAAGAGCTGAGACTATGGGGTGCAGCACCACGCCCTGGTTTGCTGTCATCTTCTCCTGTTTTATTACAATTTCTACACATTTCTCCTTGATGGCCAGTAGGCAGGGCAACTTTCCATGTGTCACCAGCCACTTGCTTATCTTCTCCGGTGTGAATATCTACCTGGATACTTTGTCATCAAGCTGCATGTGGAGGCGCATGCCTGCAATCCTAGCACACAGGAGGCCCAGGCAGGAGGACTGCTGGGTTCCAGGCTAGCCTCCTGAACTACACAGCGAGACCCTGTCACAAACAATAAAATATATATATTTATGTGTATTGGATGTAAGACCCTTACAGATGATTTCTCCAGTCCTGTGGCTATCCATCACTTAGTGGTCAGCAGGGATACAGAAGTCTTCACTTTCAGGGAAGTCTGGTTTATTTTTTGTTGCTTGTCATTCAGGTGGCTACAATGCACACGCATCCTGGCACTGTGGTGTTCACATGAGGACACAAAAATTAAAATGTGTTGATAAATAAGTAGCGCCAGGTGTGGTGGCGCACATCTGTCACCCCACCACTCTGGAGGCTGAGGCAGCAGGATCGTCACGAGTTCGAGGTCAGTCTGGGCTGCAAAGTGAGCTCAAGGCCAGCCTGAACTGCAGAGCAAGCCCCTGTCTCAAAAAGAAAAAGAAAAACGAAAGAAATAAATGGACATAGCTGGGAGCGGTGGCGCACGCCTGCAATCCCAGCCCTCGGGACGTTCGGGAAGGAGAGTCGCCGGGAGTTCCAGGCTTGCCTGAGCCACGCGGTGGGCAAGAACCTGTCTCCAAGCAAAATCCCTCGGAACAACGGCCGGACGGAGGACAAACTGCAACAGACAGAACGAGGCAGCGCACCGCCGCCCAGGAAAGCCTCCCAGCCGCACGGCGCTCCGGGCGCTGCCGCGGGCGCCCTCCTGCCGAGCAGGCTCCGAGGCCCCCACGCCCCGCGCCCACCCCAGCGGGGACCA